ATGGAAGTGCTGAATATGCTCCATTCGGACTTAATGTCCCCAGTCTCCCTCAGAATGCTGTCAAAGTTCTGGCAAAGGTTGGAGGCCTCTGTTAGGCATTCCCAGAGTGTCCTCACAATACATTTAGTTGTGCCAGGTTTATCCAGCATTCTCCCTCACCACCTGATCCAACTCACCACCAGGTGGTGATCAGTTGATAGCTCATCCCTCTCTTCACCTGAGTGTCCAGAACAAATTGCTGCAGATCCGATGATACGATTACAAAATCAATAATCAACCTGCAGCCTAGAGTGTCCTGGTGCACTTGTAAATAACCTTATGTTCAAACATGTTGTCTGTTATGGACCAACAGTGGTTTTCACAGTAACAGAAGGCCTAGCCACCAGGTGCTCTCCCTCTGGTATCTTCCCCAGGACTTGAGACACATTTTGTAGACCATCAGCTGGGACTGAACTAGCTAATATTAGTGGCAGGATTGCTTTCTAAATGCTGATAGATTTCAACTTGTGTCTTGACTCTCTGTGCCTCTTGGACCTCTCTACTTCATTTGTTCAATACGTTTTACCTGTGTCATATCTCATGATTACAAATAACTTAATCTTTTGACATCTATGGTACGATTTCTTTGTATGTGTGTATAGGATTGGTCGTTACTGACATCTGGTGAGACTTTCATGTCAATAGCACCTTTACAAATATTACTTAGAAAATAAGTAATATGATCAATATTTATTTTCACCTGTTGCATACAAAGAAGGATTAGTTATGGTTTAAACAATGTTTAACACATTATGAATTTTTTAATAATTTAGATATTTTTTGTGTATTTTAGGACATATTGTACATGCATTTATGTACAAGAAGGTTCAATTTGATGGGACCCCCAAAATTTTAAATGAATGTTAAATGTTTTAGGGGTCTCATTTTAATCCAAACTGCCATGTGGTGCTGAAAAAGGTGTCTAGTGTCCAGTCTCATTTGAAGAGTACAGTAAAATGGAGAGGGAGTGTGTGATGATTTTTTTTTTTCATTCCATCTTTTCTCAAAAAGCTTTTCAGCACATCAAAAAACCCACATTTGTTTTAACAGGAAACATTTCTCCTCACACATTCACATGCATAAAACTCATGTACCGTGCCACAGCCACATGCAGAGAACACATCTACTGTTGCACACACCCACACGTTAAATGGCCATTACTGAAACAGAACATTGTGCCATTTAAGCTGTCAAGACGTCACTCAGATGTAGCCACTCTATTATTCCTACCCTTCATGTAGGAATAATGTAAAAGTTCCGTATTTTTTTCCAAACACCTCCCTTTGTGTGGATTTTTTAATTTACTTTAAGGCTGTTCATTTGTTGAATTAAATAGATTTGTAGTCTCTTTCTATGTACAGATCTAACTAACATTCACTCACAGCACTGAAAAAGGTTAGAGCAAGTTGTAGGTTTAATATCTTGACCAAAGATATTTAGCCTGCAGACCGGAGCAGAGGGGGATCAAACCACCATCCAGTGGATGATGAGAGTCAAACCTTAAATACTGATCCGTATGCGTAGGTTTACGGTACACATCAGCTTTTAGATGTCCCTCATTACTGATGGAAATCTCATAGTCTAAGAAGGCTAACCTGCCACTTTTCATATCCTCCCTTGTGAATTTGATGTGTTGGTCCACCGAGTTAATGTGACCCGTGAATTGTGGTAGGTCCTGAGATTAAATTTTCACGCAGGTGTCATACACATATCTGAACCAATGACTAGGTGGTGTTCCAGGATAGGATAACAAAGCCCTCTTTTCCACTTCTTCCATGTACAAATTGGCCACAATGGGTGAAACTGGGGAACCCACTCCCATGTTTCTCCCTGTAGGACTGACCCTTGTATGTGAAATAGGTGGAATTAAGACACAGTTCAAACACACTTGGTCGGTGCTGATAGTGGTCTTGTTGCTGAGGTTGGGGTCATCCTGTAATCTCTTACAAACTACCTCCAACACTTCAGTGACTGGAACATGAGTGAAGACAGATGTAACATCGTACAAGACCATGGTTTCATCTGCCTCCATAATGACATCGCTCACCTTCTCAACACAATCCAAGGTGTTCTGGATGCGGTGAGTTGATCATACAGACAATTGGTCTTAAAGGTGCACTCTGTTTATGTTCTTTGGTAAACCATACAGACTTGGTATAGATTCCGCTGGGTATAGCCTGTGGTATGAGGTACGGTCAATAGCCTTGTCTTGTTCTAACTGCTTCAGACAGTCTATCACCGTCTTCCTGTAACCACTTCCTGGGTCTCGTTTCAGGGGCTCATAAGTATTTTTGTCACTGAGCAGTGACAAAATTTTTTCATCATAGCCTTTTTGGTTTAGCGACACAGAGCACCTACCCTTGCCTGCTGGAAGGATAATGATGTTGTTGTCATGACTAACTGATGGGATTGCCTTCCTCTTCTCCATGCTGATGTTGGACGCTGGGGGCTTTGCATTGCTGAGACAGGCTGAAACTTTCATCCATAGTTGCTCTGCTTCCACGTCTGCAATGTTGTTGTATCGAATTGCAGTTTCGGTGGCTGTGATCAGTTCCACTAGAGGGATTTGCCTCAGTTTCACAGCAAAATTCTATCCTTTTGCAAGGATGTTTTTCTCTGTTTTGGTAAGCTGTTTGTGAGACAAACTCTTCACCCACTTGTCCACATCCTCGGTGTGGCATCCTTCTCTCTTCTGGCCACTGAGGACACTCTCCGTATTTTGAGCTAACATTGTGAAACATTAATAACATTTTTATTTCACACTTTTTTCTTTTACTGCATACTGTTCATTCATAGTTTTGATGCCTTCAGTGAGAATTTATGAAAATAAAGAAAAAACATTAAATGTGAAGGTGTGTCCAAACTTTTGATTGGTCATGTGTGTGTGTGTGTGTGTGTGTGTGTGTGTGTGTGTGTGTGTGTGTTACTGCTGGAGTCTCTGAGACCGTATCGTCGGGAGATTGACTCTCGACTAGGGCATCTGTATCCAGTAAAGGTCCTAAGGCTAGTCCCCCCCCCCCCCCCCCCCCCCCCAATGCCAACCAAGCCTACCTCAGACAGGAGGTCATATAAGCTCGGATGTTGCTCGGCTTAAGAAGGTCCGCATCTGGTGTTGAGGACACACTGATGAGAAGTCAGTTACCGGAACAAGCAGGCATAAGTGGGCAAGAGATGAAAACAAGGCGCTAATGGATTGGTATAGTGCAAATATCCCAGCAGAAGGGGTTACATGAAAGGAAAGTTGTGGACCTATGGAATGTTTGATACCCAACACCCAGACTGATGGTGAAGCAACTAGTAGCGGCTGACTTGAAAGATAGGATCATGGTGAAGATGGAAACCTGGACCCTCTGTGGCCAATTACCAAGACTGCATCAAGTACCATCTGAAGGTCTACTAAAAATGTAAATGCAGCATTATGCATAATCCCTACAATTGACTACAAGACAGCCTATGACTCAATGCCCCACACATGGATCCTGGAATGCCTAGAACCATACAAGGAACTCATTAGGAACTCAATGGGGAATTAGTGAACAACAATAGAGGCCAACTTCAAGCCAATTGCACAAGTCACTTTTAAGTGCGGCCTATGCAGACCCCACTGCTGGTCTGCATAGGCCTGAAACCCCCCACAGTGAGATCACTGACATGACTGACTATGGATACAGATTACGGAATGACACAATTATCAGCCACCTCCTCTACTTGGATGACATCAAGCTGTAGTAGTAGAAATGTAGTTGGGTGGTAACAAAGAGAGGGAAGACTGTCAGAACTGAGGGGATCGCGCTAGCAGAATGCAACATTGCAGACACTGAGGATGGCTGCAATTACCTACAAATACATTGGTACATACATAATACAAGTACATTGGTTCCCATTTGCTTAGAATCCACTTGAACACAATCATGTATGCTGCTGGGATAATAAACTGGGATAAGGAGGAGATTGAAGCCATTGGCATCAAGCCAAGGAAGGTCATCACCATGCATAGAGGGATCAACCCCAAATCGAGGACCCTGAAACTGTACACTAAGCGAAAGGTACGAGGCCAAGGACTAGTGAGTGTCAGAACCACTGTCCAGGATGGGACAACAAACATCCATGGGTACATCAGAAATATGGCCACAGTCGACCGAAAGTGCTTAGTGATTATCTAATGAAGTAGAGACTGAAGAAGGTGGAGCAAGAGGAGGAACCATCATGCAAGGACAGGCCCCTACATGATATGTACCACCGGCAGATAGAGGACGTGGCTGATACCCAGAAATCCTACCAGTGGCTGTACGCAGCTGAACCGAAAGACAGCACAGAGGCACTAATCATGGTAGCACAGGAGCAAGCTCTGAGCACAAGATCCATCGAGGTTGGGGTCTATCACACCAGGAAAGACCCCAGGTGCAGTCTGTGTGAAGATGCCTCTGAGACTGGATATGCCCCTTATAAATCTGGGCCATCATCATCTTCAGAGTTATGCTGTAACCCATATGATCATTGTTACTGTACATGCACAACAAAATTGTAGGTTCCTCACACCAACTCTGCCAGAATAAACTATAAATAGGACACAACAGGAATGAATGGCAAAGAGGAGAAATACATAGAATCACGCGGAATATATACAAAACAAGAGAAATATATGCAACAACAATAGAAAGGCACACAATAGAGAAGAAGTTGTAAAGTGCTTGGACTCAGACTGTGGCTCGATAAGTTGGTTGGGTGTGAATGGGTGGGATGTGGGGAGGTTGGTGGATGTTTGTTTACTGTCCGAATGGCCCAGGGGAATAAGCTGTTTGTGAGACTGAAGTGTAGGACCTGATTGATGTGAGGCGCTGACCAGAGGGCTGGTAGTGGGTGGGGTACAAGGGGTCACTTGCGATTTCCCAGGCTAGTCGGACTAGAGGATTAATCTTGAATCTTTTTTCAGACCTAATGATTCCTGTATTCTCCTGCAGGTGAGAGGTCAGTGAAAGCAGCAGTACCAGTGGATGGAGATGATGTCCATGCAAAGTAAGTATTCTGTCACCATAGCACCCAGCTCTGGCCTAAGTTCATTGCGGTAGTAATAGCTGTGGGAGGAAAACAGGTGGTTCTTGGAAGAAGTATCTGCATCATTAGAAGAAAAAAGTAAAAGCAGTAGCAACATGAGTTGAAATAGGAGTAGTATCTGATACAAGCAACAGGGATAATTAACAGAAGCAGCACTAGTCGTAGTAGTTGATATAGTAAAAAATAGGTGCACTACAAGTAGCAATATGAGCACTGCACTTATTATTAGGACTAGCTGGTATACAGGTACAGGTAGGTATATTCATAGTAGCAGTGATTAGTAGTAGTAGTCTTGTAATAGTACAAGCAGTATATTGCTGCTTTTGTCATTCATTTATCTATAAAGGAATGCCACTTCTTTAGTAAAAAACGTGGAATTATTAGGACTACCAGCAGCAAAAATCACAGTTACAGTACTTACAAAACAAGCATTAATGGTAGCTGTAGTGGTAGCAATACCAGAATCATTTTAGTAGTTTAGTGCAAATAGCAGTATTTTCAACAGCAGAGGAAGTAGCAGCACTGGCATTAGTTGCTGAATAAGTAGCAGTAGTAGAAGGAACACTAGTGGTAGTACTGAGTGGTAGCATTTAGTATGAAGTTCAGTGTTTAATCCTAGCAGGAAACGTAGAAGTTATAATGAGATGTGGTAATTGCATTAGAAGTAGTATATACTCTAGCCATAACACCAGTACCATCTTTAACCCTCCCAAGGCAGGCGTTGCTGATTTGCAACAGTTAAAAACTAACAACCGGATTACCCCACATACATATTTTATGAGTTTTTTTTACTCAGAAGTACCACTGCAGGACTTGGTTGTGCATTAGCAACAAAAAGTTTAATTTGAGCTTGAGAGGGTTAAAGGTAATGCTACCAATAAAAGGTTGTACTTGTCACAGAAAGATTTGAAGAATTGGTAGTAGTTTAGTAATAGTACTATTCCAAAAATGGTAGAATTAGCAGCACTACATGCAGTTAGACCATTCAGTGAGCTGTGTGAGGCTACTCACTGAAGAGTCTTAGTGCAGCTTGACCTCACCCAGGCTCTATGGCCAGCAGCCCACAAGCTCAAGCTGTGCCCAATAGAAATGGAAGAATGCAGCGACTGGGTTATTCTGTCAGAAACAAGACTTTTTTTTCTGAAGCAATGTTTGAAAAACATACTAACTAGTTATACAGAGGAAAGTTTTGCTAGACGATTGTTTAAGCCATTTAACTACCGATTCGTCTGGTTGTATACTTTGCATTCTTAAAACTGTTTACTTTTTCAACTTTTCAGAAAGTCCTAAAAGCAAACTTCCTTGTTGAGTAAAAATGCGGATTGTGGTACAAAAAGTTGCATGTGCTGGTAATGGCATGAGAAAAATGTTGGAGTAAAGTAGGTAACATTAGCTATACCAGCTTCTAAAAACCCTTGAAAGTCAGACCTGTGTGCATCATAAACAATGACAACAAAAACAAAAAACTCTATAAAACATTTTTTGTTTTATTGTGTTAAGTCTGTGAGAAATTACTATAAGGAAAGGCTTGCACTGAGGTTAACCGCTAGGTCCAGACTTTCATTAGCTGCAGGTGTGCAACCAATGTACCACTTTACAATAGTTGCAGTAGATATTACTGGTTGCAGTAGATGTGTGTTGTTTTCTGCAGTGAGTGAGGCAGACAGCGTGGTGAAGGTGGCAGAGTGGCAGCAGACTTACTATGCCACAGACTCTGGCATCCAATCGGGAGCTACCACAGTGCAGGACGACGAGAGCAGCACTGAGTATAGTGGCAACAAGAAGTACACAAACAGTACTACAACCGGCACTGGCTCTGTACCTGTTAAGGCCACAGTGGGGGGAGGTGGAGACTCAGCATTCAGTGGAGTAGATAGCCCAACAGGTAACACTTTCTGATCAAAATCATTTGATTTTCTTTTTTGTTTGTGCTTTCTGTTTGCTTCCTTTAATAACAGCAGCTTTCGGTCTTTATTGATCTGCATTTTGTGGCTCTTTTTTGTGTCTGGTAACATCATATAATATATTGGTTCATCTTCTTTTTCATAAATGGAATTGAATGCAGGATTTGATTCACATGATTCAGTATCAAATACCACTGGACAGATCACAAGTAAACAAACAAACAAAAAAACAATTACTGCAGCTTTAATGATAATGAAAATGGTGAAATAGCAGCACACTGACATGCACAGGTTATTGTAAGCAGCTGCAGATAACAGCTTGTTTTCCATTTCCTGTGATTCATCTGTCTTCAATATGAAATAAATCTTCATGGTGCAAGATAATGCATCATGGTAAGTATTAAGAAACTTTGTGTTTTATCTTCATTTCGCTCTGTTTTGCTCTGCTTCAGTCATCTGACAGTCAGGGGAAGAAATAAAAGTCTGCTACATTTTTTAAAAATTCACGCATCATCACACCTGTGCTGTTTGTAGACAGCTGGCCATTTCAAGCTCAGTTTGACATTGTGGTGCTTTGAAAATTCTATTCACATATGACATGTGAAGTAAAATGTCAAATGTAGACACAAGCTAGCTAAATAGAAAACTTAGCTGCAGGTTGTAAATGTACTTTTATTTCTCCACTGCATGCATGAAAGTTTAAAGTACATATCTAATAATTTAATTCGTTTTAGGCTACTTTGCAGCCCCAGCAAATTCCATGAAAATCAGAAATAAATACTTGCAGTTACTTTGGATTGTGGTTGTCCTCTGTCGCTTCATTCAGGAGCACTGCCTGTTTCCTTTGACCACTTTTCACATAATCTAGAAAATGTTTAAAATAACACTACAGGTAATTGAACTTATACACTAGTTCATCTCTGCTTTCTTTCAGCATGCCACCCAAATCTTTGTTGTTAAAGTCATTTGGTGTGCTTTCATTTGGGTTTTAAAATCACACTAATTCAATTGAGTGTTTTTCCCCCTTTCCTTTTCTTGAACACTGAACATGGCATGTTCATGGCACATGTAAACCAGCCCATCCTGCCCTCTGCATGTTTCAAACACACCTCCACCAACATACAGTCTTTTGGGATTCAGGAGACTCACTAACTACATCTCATGATTCAAAAGCTCACATCCTCCTGTTTCTGTAATTCAAGGATGAAATTATTGTTTTACAATAATGTATATGTCTTTGTTTCATCCCAGCTGAATTCTTGCAGATACCTGTTAACAGATGTAAATCATTCATTTGAATTTACACAAAACTTGATATCCTTGGACAACAACCGGCTCACTAGATCAGACGGGTGTCTTTACTGCTTTATGGCACCTAACCTTTGGAATGGTCTGCCTAATCAAAAGAGATTAACTTTTTGACAAACTTCTATTACTTAAGTCTACGTAAATGTATATCATGCACAAGTATTCTTTCCTTGGGCCAACTTGCTGACTGACCTCACTAGCATGTTCTCTGTGCTTCTGTGTGTGAAGCTGACAAAGTATTTGTGTTAAAAGTGGAACACAGTTATAACACAGGATTTTCAATTCTACATTGCTTTTTCAAAAATGTTAGCATTTATAAAGGAGAACACTAGAAGTTCAAAATATCTCTTTAAGGGAAAGGTAATGATGATATTTTGTTGGGGGGGGGTTTGTTTGTTTGTTTTTCTTCGCCTGTCCCGTTTGGTTCTTTTGCCATCAGAATTGTTGTCTAAAGGCAAAGAAAGATGCCCAACAGATTTACTTTACCAAACGGACCATCCCAGCCTTGCCGTATTGGTCCAATTGATTCACCTTTTCTTTTATTGTCTATTTTATTTTATTTTCACCAGCTAAACATGGGACAGACTTGACTGCAGAAAAGAAAAGGTAGAAAGAACGAGGGGAAGAAAAAACAATGATAAAGGGCAAAAAACAAAAACCAACAAAACAAACAGACAAAAAATACATCTATCAATCACCTGGATCACCTGTTGAGAAAGAAAAAAGAGAAAACAAGCAAAAAAAGCGAGCAATACAATAAACAACATCATTGCGATGATCTATGTGAATATAACAGTCAATACTAAATATTAAACATTATTGTGCAGCACGTAAGATCGACAGAACACAGTGTGCTTTGAGGTAGGAGCCAAAAAGGGTGTAGTTTGTGGGTGTGATCACCCGTGTGTACATCTGTGAGCATGGACGCGCTTGTTTTTAAAAGGTTCCTTCATGTAATGATCTGCTAGGGAGTGTGGGGGGGCCACAGCCCCGTCCTCCAGGGCATGAAGCAGGTATGGAGGAGATCAAGACTCCAGACATCCAGAGGCCCCCAGAACACAAGAGACCAAGGAAGACCAACAGAGGGGCAGCCGCGCCACTGTCCCAGAAAGAGCTGAGGAGAGTCCCAGATGAGGGCTCACTCAGCAGCCGCGGAGCAGAAGCCAGGGGGAGTTGCAGTGACGTGCCCGCAGGCTCCAGGCCCCGACAAGCAGCCACCAGGAGTGAGCCGGTGGGTACCTGGACGCCCATCCCCAGACACAAAGAACCACCAATGCAGGGTGGGTGTCTGCCACCGGCAGGGGGAGTGGTGGGGGTGGATAGGCCTCCATACCTTGGAGGGCCTGAGATGTCCCTAAAGAGGTGGCGTCTGATACTCGACCTGACATACAGACACAGACATACAGGCACACACAGACACAAACATCCATTCCCACCCTCATGCTCTCATATGCACTTACTCCACACTCACCCAACGTGGAGACAGACATAGAGAGACACTGTACACACGATCACACTCCCCAAGCGTACTCTACGAACCGGGTCTAGGTACCCTTGCCCCTGGAGGGGGGAACTGCACCCAGACCCAGGTGGTGTTACCCTTTTCCCTGCGGTGGGGAGAGGCAGACCGCCCCGACTCCACAGCAGCAGGGAGGCCCCACATTCCAGACCGCAGTCGGACAGCCAACTCCTCCTCCCAGCCCCCCACCCCAACAGGCAACAGAGAATGGGGGTGTGTGAAGACTCCAAACCTCCCTCCACCCGCTCATTGTAGTGTTGATGCATGTGTGTTCTAAGGTGCATTTAAAACCCAGGAGGGCATGGAGCTACCTGCCAGAGAGCAGCAGGTAAGCACATAGCCCCTCCTGATAGCCCTCAATGTAATGGGGAGGGAAGGAAGGCAGGGGCAAGTGGCCCCTCCCTGGGGCCAGCTCCCCCGCTGACCCCAGTAGGCACCCCCATATCCTGCAACCCACCAGGGAAAGGGGGCCCAGGCCCATCCAGACCGGGGCCCAGTTCAGCAGCCCCGCCGGGCCCCACAGATTCCGGGACAGCCCACCAGACCCCACCACAGAGAAAACTGCACCCACCCCGTCATCCACTCATCTCCCAGACAACACAAGACAATAGACACCCAGGCTGAGTTCTTTCTCCACCTCTCTTATATCTCCCCCACCTGCAGAGTGAGTTCCTGGAGAGAGGAGACCTCCTGCAAGATGTAACAGCCTCCCCCACCAGTTGAAGAGCCCCCCAGGTGGCTCGATGCACTGGCGGCACCCTGCGCCAGGGCTGGGCCTCCATACACCCACCTGCCCACGACCCCGGCGACACACCAACCAAGACCCAAGCCCCCAAGGCTCAGCCAGGGCCCCAGCCCAGAGACGGTGCACCCCAGAACCCCCCCCCCCCCCCCCCCCCCCCGATCCACCCAGGGGCAGCAAGGCTACCAGGTCAGTAACCCACGTCCATCAGCACAGACCCTCCCCTAGCCCCGCTGCACGCAGCCTCGAGGAAACCGTCACCTAAGAGCCAACAGAGCCCTTAACAGGCCATGACCGCTACCCCGGGTTGAGTCCTCCAAGGAAGATGCCTCCGGGGAATCCCCCAACGCCCCAAGCCTGTCCCTACCCCCACACCAATCACAACAGCAAAGGTGGGACCAAACTATGACCCCCCACCCCCACTAGGTGATGGATGATCTGATGTGGTGGCAGAGGCTGTATCAAGACTAATGTCATCTAATAGATAATTTCTATATTGGTTAGAATTAAGATTGTTTTTATTTTTCCAGTTCATGAGGACTGTTTTCTTGGCTATGCATAGGGCAGTGAAAACCATGTGGGCGATATTCTTTTCTGTAGTGACATTATCTAAGCTGCCCAACAAACACACTAAGGGGGAAGTTGGAATGTTACATTTCAGACACTTTGATAAGTCTTCACATATCTTGACATCATTTCCATCTAGCCAGATCATCTTCTACACCTTCTTTAAAAGTGGGATATGGTTTAATTTAGTTAGATCTGCAAGCTTGGGAGAAACATTAATACCTAAATATTTTATATTTCCCGATTGCAGTGGTGTAGAAGAGGAATTATGGAGGGAGCAATTAATCGGTAGGACTGTAGATTTTGACCATTTAATTGAGTAATCTGATATTCTTGCAAAAGAGTTTATCAATTCAATCACCCCAGAGATATTGGTTTGTGAATTTTGGAGAAAGAGTAACACATCATCCGCATAAAGGCTGATTTTATGTTCCACGTTCTTGCATTTTATGCCCTTAATTACTGAATTCTGTCTAATTGCTGCTGCTAGTGGTTCAATAAAAATTGCAAACAGTGAAGGGGAGAGTGGGCATCCCTGCCTGGTGCCCCTCAAGAGACAGAAGCTGGAGGATGTCTGGTCATTTGTTCTAACACAAGCTGTTGGGGAATTATATAATATTTTTAACCAGTTAATGAAAGAGGATCCAAAACCAAATTTGTGTAAAGTTGCAAATAGAAATTTCCAGTTAACTCTGTCAAATGCTTTTTCTGCGTCTAAAGAGAATATTGTAGTTTCTAGGTTTTTATTGTATGAGTAGTCTATCAAATTAAGTAATCTACGTGTATTTGTTGATGAGTGCCTGCCTTTTATGAAACCAGTTTGGTCAGGATGAATTAAGAGGGGG